AATCATCAACAAACTCCACCCTCGCAATATCCGAGCCGATCGAAGACGTTTATCGACCGAATCAAATGAAAAAATAAAGCTCGATTAATCAAGAGATCCTCGCGACACGGCTGGCAAACAAGTTTTCCAAGCTCCGGCAACGGAGAACCTCGATGCACCTAAAGCGCTGGAGGCTCTTTGAAAAATCCAATAAGCGAAGCTACGTATTCGGTATCAAGTATCGCGTATTACCCTGGAATGACAGCGGAAAGGAACGATAAACCTTTTGAGGCTTGTAGACAGCTTCGCCTCGAACCCCAGCCCCGATATCGAGTTCCCTTTGAGCTCCAGGAAGCCTCCTGGGGATGGTATGCGCGAGCACATTGTTTCATATATCGCGATAAGAAAGAAATTTGTATTCGTAGCAGCACCGACCAGGGAATCGTTGCTACGATACCTCCCCCATTACCAAGAATTCCTTATGACCTCCCTTCAGCCAGGAGCTCGGTCCCGTATCGGGGAATAATCGAGCAGAACACTTTCCCGAGGCCATCATACCCGCCGTTAGGTCTGTGTATTTACGACCGCCATCTTGGCCCGTGCACCGCGCGTATGGGCTTTCAGGCTGATGCATGGTCTCGCTGGTCTTAGTTTGAATGGAGCTTTGCATCGAAAGGAACGTTTCTGCGTGTCAATATCGAGGAATTTCGTAGGCAGCTGTGCATGCAAGGTGGATTATTAATAATCCTGTTTTACGACGGGGAAGGATTTTTCATAGCACTGGATCTTCGTGCGCCGGGTACGCGATAAGAAATCAATAATAACGCGAGTGTCGTAACTGGGAAATTTGTGTTAAATGCTTTTTAGATACGTGTACCTCTAATTCTCTTTTTTCCAACTATTATTATAAATAACGTACTCCATTTCCTCTGTAACGTTCAAGTTACACACGCATGATCGAAGCGTAAGGGTAGCTTCTCCCTCAAAGCCCAAATATAGCTACCGAATGCAAACTCGAAATCATCGAAATCAGTGGTTTGCCACGCGCGTCGAAAATGATCCATCGATATCACCCGTTTAAAAGCAATAGGATCCGTTCCTTTGAAGAGGAAACGTGGTGAAACGTCCAATAGCAACGCAAACGCTCGTGTGCAACTGCCCGGAGGCATCCTCAAAGCTACCCTCCAAACTACTCTAAACAGAAACTCCCAGTGCCAATGGGGGATATCGCGATCTCGTCTTACCAGAAGCTTCAGCAACCGATACTGCTGTTTTCCCGCGAAAACGAGATGTAATTTCATCAACACGCGTTAGTGCCTGCATTACCGAAGTAATAAGACAATTAACAACTTCCTAGCCCGAGTTGACACAAACGTACTTCAAGTAGCGATTCCGTTAGGGTATACAGTTTGCGTCCTATGTGGAATATTCTCTGGCGATAGTTAATTCTCGAGGACTTGCTCGAGAAAGGGACTTGATTATTTTGGGGAGGGGCAACTATGTAGTTAGTGGCATACTCGGTGATACCTGAATACAAGCTTTCTCTTGCGTAGGTTATACTGTGTTGCCTCTGTATTGTCACAATAATGACATGATTGTAATTCCAACTACCTCGAACGTGGGCTTTCAGACTCTGAAGCTTGATTCGATTAATTTTTCAATGTTTGGCGACTACGCAATCCAATACTTTGTGTAGTACTTGTTTCTACAACATCGTCGGAGAGATGTATTTTTTTCCAACGGAACTACGTCTCTTTCAGAATTACTTTTTTCTTCAGCATTTCTCAGAAGCTAATTTGGTTTAATCGAAAGGACAGAAGACTCAACGGTCCCGTTACGATATAAATCGCGCAGTTCCGAACAGGCTTGTTACGCATTCAAACGGTCGCGTTTATGCGAGCCGCGGCGAGGCACAATTAATGTTCGAGGAGAGTTGCGCCCGAAACTTTCATCCTGGCTACCCGGTGGGAATTTTCTGAATAATTCAACGCCCGCTTTGTTCCTCGGCATGGTCTACGGGTCTTTCATGCAGCCATCCATGATCTCAATTTTCCAGCAAGTGCATTGAGATAACACCAACCGTCCGACAAGACGAAATTAGGGGAAGAATATGGGGATCGTAACGGAAGCACTTGGGGGAAACTTTGAACGATCTCGAAGGCGATTTTGGACGATCCTAGAAAGCCCTATGGCAAGACAGTTCTCCTACGGAATCGTCTGAAGATGAAAACTGAACAGGTGAGATTTCTCATGGTCTCGATGAGTGAGATTATTTTTTGACTCTGTTCAAGTACGATCTTTAGGCAGAGGCAATGAAAAGGCAGCCAAGTTCTCGGGGAAATTATTTCACGGTAACACGCAATACCGTAATTTCCCTATTCCAGACTGCTTTGATCAATATCGTTTCAATATCGTGTTCTCCATTCGCTCGCCAGCGGAGTCTCTAATCAAAAAAGGGGGCGTCGTCGAGGGGACGCCCGGGGCGCCGTTAAAATTTTCCAAGCAATTCCACGGAATTGCGAAACATAACGTTTCCGTCGTGGAGTCTCTTTATTATCCTATTTCCTTTCTATCATGAAAATTGTTATCGAGCGGTCGCCGCGAACCTCCGTAAAGCTGTTCGTCCGTGGCTCCCATAAACCTGCGCCCGTAAAATTATACTTCGAAAGAGTGGAAGTTCGGAAAAGTGTGCTCCTCGTGATGTAGGGCAGTTTCGTTGAGAAAAGGCCCCGATCCATCTCCGACTCCTTCCATTTTTATCCAAACCAAATGAAATTTTGTACAGTTGTCCTTCGACTTCCTACGAAAAGTATAGAGTATATAATTCGGAAGAAACATTAGCTACAGAACGACATCTGTTCCTTGCGACTTACACGAAGATTTAACGTCGCGCTCGAGGAGAGAGTGCGGTTTGATAAATTGTACCAAAGACCGTCCAGGTCGGAACGTTTATGTTTAAATGATGCTTGCTCTCGTTGGGATGTAAGTTTCATAGCACGTGTACGCGAGGGCAAAAAGAGGGAACAACAGGCGGCTGGGCGAGAGAAATTGCGCACCGCGGGGGCGTCTAGTCGTCGAATGCGGATCTGCAACGAAACGGACGAAGAAAGGGGAACGGGGGTTGGGCGAGATGAATTACGAGCACAATGGACGACGCGGCAGCCGACGCCGACGGTACGACGAGGTCGAACGGGAAAAACCGGGTCAGGGGAGGCGAGAGAGTCTGGGAGAATGAGTGATTCGCGATCAGGCGGATCCCTCGTGTAGATTTTTCTCCAAGATTCTCCCGAGGATTGCGCGAAGAAAAGAAGCTTAATCGTTTTAACTTCGATCGCAGAAAGCTCTCGCTGCGGCTGAAATTTTTAACGGGGGTGGATTGCGAGCAAATGTTCTCTCGCATTGCGATGAATCAACTCTGAGAAACGCGAGCACAGTTTCGTGTATGTACCATAGTTTCGCGAAATTTTTTCAAATATTCCAAGGTTGAGAATCGAAGTGGTGCAAGGTCAGAAAGATGAAGATTGTAGTTGAACTCGATTTATCTCGAATACATTTATAATTCAAGTATCTTTCTGAAACGATGTATAGACGTTCCAGCAGACTAGACCGACTGGATTCATTTCATCCCTCGTTTCCAGCCAAGTTCACGTTCGGGTGAAGAATGGTCGAAGAAAGAAGACCAAGGTCGAAGCATTGAACGTGAAACAGTAGTCGGACGCGACGGTGGGTGACGTTGGAAGATCAAATGAAGAGGATCGACGCGAGGAAAAGGGGATCAATCCTACCCAATAAAAGTTGCGTCTCTCAGTCAACGGAAGGTAATAACTGCGCTGCTCCGAAGGCGACGCCGTCCGTCTGACGGAGGGCGGCGAGAAAAGGTGGGGATGAAGGACGGAATCGAATCGATCCGAGTTATTGTGTTCTGTCGTGTATTGTGCACGGGAGAACAATCGCAGATACCGTGAAGACGACCGTGATGGAACTAATTGATGCGCGTAATTGGGGATTCGCGGTGGAAGGAAGGGTGTGTCGGCGCGTCGGCGTGTTGTTGCTTTCGTTCCAGCAAGAAGGGCGAAATTCTACACGAGAATCTAACTTGAGAAGTGCGATAAAGTGATACAATTGTTGGTACTTGGATATTTTAGAGGGGAAGACAAATTCTACCCGATGTTTATAGCTCGAATGTATCGATTACAATATCTTCCGCTAAGAATAAGTACCCAAAAGGAAAAAGAAAAATTCCCGTGGTTACTCTTCGGTCAAAGAAAGGTACCACCGTAAGGAATACCGACAGTGCAAACAAACGCGAAAATGGGTTTGAAGAACGAAAACGGAGACAACGAGCGACGTTTATGTCGCGTTAAAACATAGAAACGCGGCACCAAGGTGGTTGCGGGTTGGTGGAAACGTTCGAGGCCTCGCGTTTCTACCTGGCCGAGAGTTTAAGGCCGGTCCACACGAGCGGAATCGATCCCAGCGTCCCTTATTGGATGAGGCGAAACGAACCGCTCAACCGTGCGTCCCTCAACCATCCTGGCGCTCGTGCTCGTTCACGGATACGTGTTCGATACTACTTTCCTGCCTTCGTGCGACCGTTCATGTAAACGCACACTGAAGGTGACGAATCGCTCTTTCGCCGCGGCGAGTGCTATACATGGAAACTGTGTCAAGAGCTTTCCTACATTTTTCGCTCTAATGTGTCCCGATATAATGCGTCCACTCGAGCGGTCTGCGAAGTTGCTTTTCAGAAATGAACGCTCTTCCGCGTTTCTGACGCGGAAAATTGATTCGACGATGTATGGATCGGGCGTAGTCCTTGACGGGAGCTGATACCTGCTATCAGTGGACCGTTACACCGTCAGTGAGAGACATAAAATGACGAGCGAAAAGAAAATAGTTTTTAGAACGGTGTTCGACTTGATTGTCATATGGGATTTTATGGGATCTTAAGGGATTGAAAACATTGACGTCAGAAGGGATTCTACCCTTTAGCGAAAAAAAAAAAAAAAGATGCGACTCACCGGTGACTGGAGCTTCGATATCGATCATGGTCTTCTCCGAGCGCAGCAGGGCGGCCCCATCATTGACTATACGAAGGGCCGCCGCTTCGTCGATCCTACCTTCGAGGATAAAGTGTTGTTTGAGGACTTCCGGCCGCGGCCGATCTGTCCGCGCGTCGAACACCTCTGCCACTGTCAATTTGTGCGATGGTGGGAAGAGGACATCTGCAAAGACAACGGAGACTCGTTAGAAAAAGAAACAATGCCTTCGAAAAGGCTGTGGCAAAACCAGCAAACGACATCGGCGTCTGAAACCTTGTACATTTGATACTCCCAAAACTCCCCTATAGAAAGAAACGATCTCACTATGGTGTCATGTAAAAATAAAAATGATAAAACTTGGTTTTCATAAATAGATAATGAACACCCAATATTAGCCCACCTGTTAATTATCGACACGACTAAATAAATTTCTACCGCGATCACCACCCTAATGGTTTCCTACGATGTTATCGTCCATCCGTGATAGAAAATTAGGATTGCTCGTTCCAGATCCAACGTTCCCCGCGGTTTGTCTTTGCTCGTGGATCCCCTGGCGCATGCAAACAGCCGTTTAAAATGGTTCGCGATAAAGCGACGAGTCATAAATCATCTTCGAAGAAAGAGAGCCCGCGCGGCGAACTTCCGCGGCGTTTGGTCGGCAAATGTGTGCCAAGCATTAATTGGAGGGATACGACGGTACGAGCAGCGATAACAATGTCCCCGCGCGCGCGTTTCCGTTAGATCAATATTTAACGGACCCGCTTTCAATTGCACTTGCAAGTCGAACCGAAATACGCGACGACATACATCGTTCCAGCTCGAAACGAGCCATGCTGCTAATCCGCGCAAACGTTTGTTCGCGAGATGACGCCAGATTACAGACAACGCTGTGTTCTCGTTCGCTGTAACTTCGAAGACAAAAGTTGTTGATACAACGCTTAAATATAACGCTGCTTTTATTTTAATCCTCACTTCTGCATCTAACCTTTTATTTATACTAGAGACAACATAATCCACCACAACGAACCTATCTACCACGCCCTCGCGACGTGGATTACCTGGTCTGCGTCTGACATCAGGCTTGGCCTTCTTCTTGGCGTCCTGTGGCTTCCTGTCCAACCTTCGAGACTCCTCCGCGACAGGACTCTGCGAGCACTTCTCCCTGGAGGCCAGTTTCCGCAGGAACTCGCGAAACTTCGCGGCATTCTTCTGACGAACGTCGTTTTGGTCCTCCTCGAAGACATCGTCTTCCTCCATTTCGTCCTCCACTTCTTCGCTCTCAGTCTTCGAACCATACCGAGTTTGAGACTTCGTTGACTCAGACTGTCCAGACAGCTCCTCTAAGTTGCCGAAGGACTTCTTGCTATCCTCAGACTCGCAGGAGTAGTCTCCAAAGTCCATCGAAGGATTGGGCAACCTGCCACCGATGGTGGAGCTCTCGATGGACATGTGCGAGTCGTAGGAGGTGAGTTCGTTGTTGCAGCTGCCTGATCCAGAAGACGGGTTCGAATGTTTCGTCCCACGATCTACTAACCTGCCCCCGACGATAGGACTCGCGATGGACATGTGCGAGTCGTACAAGGTGAGTTCGTTGTTGCAGCTGCCTGATCCAGAAGACGGGTTCGAATGTTTCGTCCTAAGATCTACTAATCTGCTACCGACGACGGGACTCTCGATGGACATGTAAGAATCGTCCACGATGAACCCATCGTTGCGAATACCCTGCTTGGAACCAGCGACTTCGCTAAGAGTGTCGTCGATATTCGATTTTTCCATGATGATGAAAGACTTGTTCATACACTGGCTATCCTGATCAAGATCCACTTTCGTCCAAACGTCCAACGACGCGTCCTCCCAAACGTTTCCAGACTCTTCATCGTTTAGGTCGGTTGGTGATTCTTCGTTTACTAGTCTCCCACGCGAAGCACCGATAGATGACATGGACTTTGACCTGTCTACGTGCTCGATTGGCGAGATGTCTATATCGGTGGGACTCGTGATCGAGACTTCTGATTCGGAGCGATACTTCTTCCTGCCGATCAGTGACGAAGAACTTTGGTCATCGCTCTTCAAGTTCCATGTGTCCCGAAAGTGGAACTTGACGTGCAGAGGTGAGACTTCGGTCATTGGAAGGTGTTTATAATTCACGTTTTCGAAGGAGGTATCCCCGATGTCCATCGAGAAATCGATCAAGTTGGCGACTGTTGAGCTGGCGACGGACCTGACCGAATCGTCCAAGCTCTGCAAGTCGTTGTGATTTCTTATGATTTCTTCCGTGGGAAAAATCACAGCAGGGCTGACCGAGGGTTGACTACTCTTGCTACCTACTTCAGGATCAGGACTCGTTTCTACAACATCCAGCGCTGGCAACGAAACATTTCCACATCCCTCGGGTCGACCATCCTTGAGCTGAATCCCTGACTCTTCGTGTACCAAGTTCTCCGATACTCTAACGCCAAATATCATGACTGACGACGACCTTGGTCTGTCCCCTCTGGAATCCTCAGAAGAAAAACAATCCTCTTTGGTCCCGATATTGGTGTCTGAAGCATCAGATTCGGAGTAACTCTTCTTCCTAGTGTTACCGTTCTCAGACGTCCAAGAACTTTGGTTCTTCTTGTCGCATATCCCGCGCCATTTGTTCAGAAGATGTTGAAAATGTGCGTGCAAGGAGGTTTGCTCAAAGTCGGTCTCAGATTTCCCTTCTGCTTCTTTTTCCTTCGTGTTGCCTTCACCTTGTCTCTCCTCTGTCTTCTCAAACTCCACCTGCGAGCAATCGGTGCTACCAGCGTACTGGCAGGTGACGAAAGTGTCGTTGGTATCATCGATGCTAGATTTGCCGAATTTATCAATGTTGTTGTTGTACTCTGTGCACTCCAACGCGTCCTCACCGACTTTTGCGAGACCAGACTGGGACGAATCAGCGTCCCAGGTCTGCATGTAGCTCTCGAGAATGAATTCCTTCTGCTCAGGGGTCACGAGCTGCCCCAAACTGACGTCAATAGCCTCCTTGAAGATGTCCACGCCCTTCACATCCGTCCTCGTCAAAATTGGACGTTTCCTCGAGCGACCAGTGTTCTTGTTCACCTTCTTCAGCATGAAAAACACCTCTGACACCTCGTACAAGCTCTGTTCCAGCAGCGAGACATCGTCGTTCTCCACGGAAGCGTCCTGTTGCTCGACAGGCGAATCAGGGATTGCCTGCAACGAATCGTCATCTTGCAGAGGAGACGAGATAGACAGAGGTTGGATGGAGCTGTTGAGGAGGCTGATTCTCTTCCTGCCGATCGAACGATTGAAAATCGGGCTGATCCTGTTCGCTGGCGCTTCCTCGGTGTCCTCGGAGTCGAGAGGCGAGATTTCTCGACGCTGATGCTCCCTAGCAAGCATCGACCTCAACATGCTAGTGTCGAAGCTGCGCCTCCTCGCGTGCGGACTAGGTATTTTTTTCTGCGAGCTGCTTAGACAAGTGTTGAATCGCAGCTCCAACGCGCGTCGCAGTCTGCTTATCCCGCTACATGGAGGATCGAATTGATCGCGGGTGCTTTGTTGATCTGGGGTCGTCTCTAGGCCGCAACGAGGCGGAGAACTGCTCGCTGGGGTGCAGGCTGGCACTCTAGGAGGCTGAGGCGTCTCCAGGTTGAGGCTTTTCAGCCTTTGGATCAGCGCTTGCACCGCTGGGCTCACATCCTTTTTGATTCTCGAAAGACTCGCACGATCTGGAGTCTCCGTGTCTGAGAAAAACAGCTTGAAGGAATCGGTGGAGTCCGAACTAGCCGACGACATGATCGTGGATGTTTTCCTCGCGAGTAACGTCACGCCTCTGTTGATTCAAATTTTGTGGAAACGGTCGGTGTCGATGTGTTTTTCAGAGTTCGATCGGGAGACTCGAGCCTGTAGTAGGTTTTTGAAAGCATGAGTTTGTTTTATAAAAAAAATGTACGATTCTTTAGGGGAATTGACGAGGTGGAATTGTAAATGTTAGAAAGCTCAATTCTAGTTTGCAGTACGGAGGTTTTTCTATTATATGGACTTAGAACGAGGATAAACTTTGAATAGAATAAACAAGTAATAAAAGAGAAATAAATTTGTTACGAAATATTATCTGGCCGACTGTGGGTAATTCTTGAGACTCTAGATGCTCGAAGTACGCTGATGTTTGTGGCTCGTTAGTAATGGGTTCAAATTTAAACATGTGCCTGTTTGTATTTCGTTATTCTCGATGTCCTATTGGTATGTTGCCCTGTGACCGTTGTTGACATTTCTCTTAATTATCGTTTATTCATTTTCGGATTTGTTTTCTCGCTGATTTGATGTTCTAATCGATTAATAAAGAAAAAAGCAAGAAAACAAGTCGCGCACTGTTTATCTTATCGACGAATGTCGAGAGCTCGTCAAAATAAGTTAAATCTAAGAAAAGGCATGAGTCAGGATTTGAAATATGGAATTAAATAATTAAAATAATTATCCTATTATTCTTGAATTAAAAAAGATAACGAAATATCTCGAAGCCTAACACGTCATATTTGATTATCTTACTCGCGTCCAACACTTTATGAATCAAAACTTAATGAATTAATTGAAAGATATACGTAGATTTGCTCGAGAAACCCTCCTTTATTTTTCAAGGCTAAATTCAGCTTTCTAGCACGATCAATTTTCATGCGACGTGGGATAGAAGTATGCATTTCACAAATTTTATAAAAGGAGAACAACTTTCGTTTCAACTTTACAAACGGCAAACACTTACCTCTATATTTATTGCTACTTTGTTACCGATGCTTTATATTATTTCCTTTTATATTTATTGCACTGATCACTATAACAGCACCGCGAACGCACACGTTACCGTCGACGTTAAGAGAATCATTCGGCACGCAATGAAAAACAGCGCAAACAGGACGAGGACGTAAACGAACTGTGAGGCGATCAACAACTGTCGATTCGAATCGATCACGTCGAACGCGTTGTTAAGTTTACGCCGGATGAAGACTGATTCGCAACGACGTTCGTGCTCCTCGGCGATCCGACCAATCGCAAGTCGATCTTACGATACTTGGACAAAATAGATAATTCGTTGCTCGTTGAGAGCTGTAATTCTCTTCATTTTGTAAATTTTCTAATCTCGGTCGAACTCTGGTCTACCGTTGCCATACTTTTTATATCTATGAAGTCTTTTTGTGCTTCCCATTATCGCCAAGCACTTTTGTTTGCGCGATACGTTAGACAGTCTATACGAACGAGTACAGCGTATATTCGACCCTATTTCAAAATAACGCGTACATGTTAACTTGCTTCTGTGTGAAATTAACAATGGCTACCTTACAAAATTATTGTTATTGCACGTGCTAATAAGTGATTCTGCTACTGTATGAAAATGAGTATATTTCGATCTATCTACCAACGCAAGGAACAATCTTCCCGTTTTTGGATTCCCTGGATAAGCATGATTGGGCAACTAAAGTTTGCTTTTCTCAACGGTTGTATACCTTTTCCCAAGGACGAATCGATCGTGTCTCGCGCAATAAACATAACAATGACACATGCGCCGATTTTAATAATGCACTCGCAGCAGGTTTCACCAAGCATTTTGTATTGCACCAGAAAATTAGTTTACGAACCACCTGGAACCATATTACCGCGGGAAAAATCTTTACGAAAATTCATATTTAATCTACCTGACTAATCAGAACATCTTCAGCAGTTAATCCACGACAGGTACCATGTTGTTGGATGAATATCATTTTAGAAATTACGTCAGGTATAATGAAAGGAATTTTTGCAAGATCTTTTTTACAATGTTCCATAATTAGAGTTTCTGAGATACATAAAACCGATCAGAAATCTTTGAAACGAAATTACAGAAGAATCGTACACACTCGAAACGTTGTACGTACTCTGACCTCGAGTAAAATCGAGCATACATTGTAATCATCGGCGAGCATACATCGTAATCATCGGCGAGCATACACAATTTGTTCGTTACGTTAAAAAAATATAAAAAGAAAGAGAGGAGCACATGAAAAACAATTCTGTTGCAAAGGGTGCACGTCCTCTTCGTCACTGGTTTCGTGGGACGTTTCGTTGGAGAAATGCGTGTATACCCGGTGGTGCATGTTCCTCATCCTGATTTCCTTTCCCGATACTCGATAAATGGGTCACGCTTTTCGCTGCTTCGATAACACGTTGTCGTTGACGTTCTTCGTTGATTCTGCAGGAAAAGAGAAATTTACGACGGGCTCAGCCACGATTCAAGAAACGCGTTCGTGGATATCGTATTTTGCAGCGTCGTGGATCAAGAAAGTATAAAATCGCACGATTTTACAAGCCAACGTGAATCCACGTGGAAATGAAAGACTATAAATGCTATTCCACCGACAGTATCGCCGTGAATTTTCCGTTTTCTCGTGTAAACGTTCCCGAGGGGACTGAAATGCAGCTATCAAATATCCTGTCGATTCGATAGGTGTTTCAGGTGAAAAGGTTAATAGTGTTCTCCCACACGGTGTACTTGGAGATAAATTTCTTTTAGATTTATCAATTGAATGGACCATGTGTCGCTAATTAACCTTGTCATCTTGGATTTGGAACGTATAAATTGCTACAGTCTTCATCCACGTATCAAAATAAATCTCTCAAGAAAATGGGAAAATACATTCTCTTTAGATTTATCTAAAAATCTGATTAAACTCGTTAAAATCGGGATTAAACGTTTCAGTTTGGATTCTGAACGTTTCATTTATGATCCTTCTTACTACAGTTTTCATCCACGTGTGTGCTACATCTTGTCTTGTTTCAAGGTTCTGGTCAGTCTCTCGATGGTGGTCTGCCTGCACCCGAACATCGTCCTCCTCTTCTCCTTGGCCGAGTCCAGGTCGAAGAGCGCCTTGATCTCGTGGAACCTGCCCACCGACGTCTCCTCCGAGACACCTCCTCTGTCCAGCTGCCTACGTGGACTCTTCTGGGGCAACGAACTTTTCGAAACTCGATTAACCTTGTGGAGACACTGACGGACCGCGAGGTACAGGTTATCGTCGGTATCGACGTCCGTCAACGGAACGTCCAAAGTTTTCCACAACTTTTGGCCTCTGCTCTGGCCCCCTTCCTCCTCCTCCTCCTCCTCTTCGATTTCGACACTCCGATTCGACTTTTCCTCCGACTCTTCGTCTTCTAATCGTTGTTCCACGTTGAACGACATGTCACTCGATGGAAGCTCGACGGTTACATAGCATTACCGTGTGAAAACCGTGAGCGTGAATCGACTCAGGCGAAGGATCTATCGTCGGTGCTGCCACTACTGGGCGAGAACCAATCGTCGAGATCGATGAGCCGTCGGGACTCGAGACGATGTTCAGGTTAGATCTAGAAACTGCACCTAAGATGGATGGAACCCTCCCGTCTGCTCCATTTTCTTTCATCAGTGTTTATCTCGCAACGTGTCTCGAATTCTTGTTTTACTCTTGTACCAGGTGTAGAGATTAATTTTGTGCTTTCGTCTCTGGAAACATAGCGTTGGTATCGTTTCGGACGATCGATTGAAACGTGGAGTGTCGGCGTTAATATCAGGCAAAGTACACGAGCGAAAAATGATAAAATATTACAGACACGGTAATTGTAATATCACCGCACATCGTATTCGATTTGTTTCGCAGTTGGAGGTGTCGACGTGCAGTTATGAAACATTACATCACCCTCGTTCCTGTATCGATTCAAGATTCAATTTTCTATCGCAGGCGATGTTTAGTCCCTCGAAACGGTATAGTTTTAAACAGGAGATTTCCCTCCATTCTGAGCAGTCCTTGTTTACCATTTTGCTAGCATGTAAATAAACGATGCATTGAATAACACACGTTGCAGAAAACTTTTCCAAGATGGTCCCTTAACCTCACCTTCATTTTTCGTTCGCACAGTCGCCTCTAAATCAGAACTTTCGAATTGGGAAGCGTGCCTCGTTAGACGCGTCGGCTGCGCCGCGTTGCATGAAATTGGAATCGCTGGTCGAAGTTTAAAATACACGCGTCGAGGAGTGAACGTCTCTGTTGGATATGACGCTCGAAATTTCCTTTCCGTCGAGTCGCCAAATCCACTTTCGGTCCTAGACAGGTAGCACGCGAATCCTAGCGTACTCAAAACTGTACAGGAAGTGCAACACTTCGGTTCGGAGCAGAGCTAGGTGAAGCTTACAGACGAATACGTTTTGAAATACTGATTTTAAACGATAGGTTTTTTGAATTGGATCGTTATGGAGGTTCTGGAAAAGTCTTTTCTTGCGTCGAATAAAATAATATTTCAATTTGGAAATATGACGTATAAAGTGGTTAAACTTTCCGTTTCGACTAATATCTTTTGCTAAGAATAAGTTCAGGAAAGAAGTAATATTACAACGCCGGTAATAATGTTACTTTGGAAAAGTAACGTGCACAAACTGCGCTGGACAGATTATGTCTCAAAACCAACCGTTTCTGTTTCGCAATAACTTCGAATTCGAGATTCTCGCCTAAATATACCAGCAATTCTAATTTTACAATGCCGCGAATAAGCTGGAAATAAATTGAGATAAATAAAATATTTCGGAATAAAGCCCCTCGGTTTCCAGTATTTCACGAATAAATTTCTATCTCGAAAAACTTGTCACGACAAATAAACCGTCCCGATTTCGCAATCTCCGCGCTAGATTTAGAATGAAATCGATTATTTACTATTTGGAAATGTATTTCGTCTAGCTCTGGCGTTGAAACATTCGATAACAATGGTCGATTAACAATTCCCAGGAGAATCGGGTGAATGGATCGTCACTGATCAAACATGATTGGTCTAGGGCTGCGCTTATATTTATACAGTATCACTAATGATCTCAATCTACGCATAGAAACCTTAACGTACTTTACAATAATACAACGTATGCCATATATCACAGTTTCAAATAAAAATTACAGTAAACGCTATATACATATATATATACACATGTACGTAGCTAAATATTTGTAGGAGTTACAATCATTGTGTTATTAATAATCAATGGTTTTTTTTTTAAGGAAATCATTATGCTAAAAGGATATTATTTTAGTACAAGTTTAGAAATAGACTTAAAAATAATCATTAAACATTAGTGTGCGTCGCAATAAATATAAAAGGAAATAGTATGAAGTATCAGTGACATCGCGATTCTTAATAAAATATTTTTATTCGTATATATGTATCTAAGGTTTATCAGTGATTTTAGTATTCCATTAGGAATCGCAGATGACTCTAGATATTCAATTACTTTATAATAAATAACATATACAATGCGACAAGATAAATGCTTAATATGAACTTTTCCTAGACGAGTTACCTATTGGCTTTCTTATTACTAAAGTGACTAATGTACAATGAACAGCCAAGATTCAAGAGGGAAGCAAGCAACGATTTAAGTCATAGTAGAAATAAACGCTTTGGCTAGCAAAAGCAGAATGTTCGTTGGATAAAATTGATCGAACAATGTAACGTCAATTTCTGGAAACCTTGAAGTTCGACGATAAAATAAAATTGAATCTGGAATTAAAAATTATGTTAACCGTCGGTTGCTTGCTTCCTTTCGATTAAATCCAAGCCATAATTAATGATATAATTCACAACTTCCGGATGAGCCTAGGTCGAGCAATTCGCATGCTTGACGTTACCATTAAGAATATATAAGCAAAACGTGATTAGCAAAATTGATTGGATATATATCTGTGCGATACAAATTAATTTACGATGTTACGATACACGAAAGAAACCTACTATATGAACACGTGAATATTTACTAAATATTACATAATTTAGGTGGCCACCTTTTTATCCCCCCCCCCTCCCCCCTCCCCCGGGGGGGGGGGGGGGGGGGGGGGGGGGGGGGGGGGGGGGG